TTGGAAAAACGACTCCCAAATCTTTAGTCGACGACTCCCGTTTCGGTCGGGAGGTCGTCGAACCGGAGTCGTTCTTCCAATTCCCAAAAAAACATAGGGAGTCGTCGCACTAATTTTACCTGGAGAATTTTCATTTTTTTTATTAAAAAAATAGGGAGTCGTCCGCCTAAAGTGTGGGAGTCGGCGCACCAATTCTGCCTAATATTTCACCCTTTTTTATATTTAAATTGACGGGAGTTGTCCACCTAATACGAGGGAGTCGTTGCACCAATTCCGCCAAATGTTTTGCCTTTTTTTTCTATATTAAAAAAAGACAGGAGTCGTCACCATATGGCACCCTCAGAGACTCCAAAAAAAGGTTGAGCCACTGAGGCCTCACCCCAAAGGCAATTTATCAATGATAAAAAAATTAGATTGATTGAGAAAAACCTTTGCAAGAGATAAAAGAGATGACAAACGGGCCAAAAATATTCAAAAATGATCAGAAAAGTAAGAAAAAAAAAGGGTAAAAAAGGACATAGAGGAAAAAAAATTAAAAACTAAAAAAGACACAGGATAAAAAAAACCCTAGTGGTGTTTCATTGGATTTTCTATTTTCCTCTCTACAGTCAATTTGAAAGAATCAGAAAATTGGGCTTCCCATCCCCAAGCCTCTTCTGACGCCTTTTTTTTCCACTCCTTCATGAGCTGAGGGGCAGCAAAATGTCTTGGTTTATGTAACTGCAAGGGGACAAAATGAGAAAATTCATGTAGAAAAGCAATAAAAATAGGGGGGTTGTCATTGGGGGGGCAGAAAGAAGGAAGAAAAGTCTGGCAAAAGGTGTCAGAAAAAAAGCAAACAGGCCTCTCAAAGGCATTTGTCATTACCTCACCCGTTGAAGGCATGGGCATCCAATGAGGCTTTGAAAAAGGTGATGGCGAATCAACCTTCATACAATCCAAAGCGCCGTGGAGTTTGTGGAACACGTTTTGATACCAATCAGGCCGGCGAACAATTTCATTGTACAATTCATACCAACTCCTAGGGATTTGTCAACAACTCCTGCAAGTTGTCAGTTTGGACAATTGGGCCATCGACTCCCTTTCCATCTGGGGAAATTAGCCTGACGACTCCCAAGGAAAAAAAAAAGAATCAAGAAAATTAAGGATCAAATTTGGGGCGCCGACTCCCGCCTTTTAGGTGGACGACTCCCAAATTTTCAATTAAAAAAGAATAAAAAATTGCCTGTGGAATTAGGCTGACAACTCCCGGGAATTGGAAGAATGACTCCCATTCGACAACCTCCCGACCGAAACGGGAGTCGTCGACTACAATTTGGGAGTCGTTTTTCCAAGCCCCAAAGAATATTGAGGCCCCAATTGCACCCTTCTGGTTCGACTCGAGACAAGTGCTGCTCAATTAGGGGGACATGTATGTAGTCACTGTTTCCCAGGCATGATTGTCAGATGGGATGGGCGGAGTCGCCTGCAGGGAGCTCAGAGTGGGACAGAGAGAGGCCCATGCTAAATGGTTTCATACAATCATTAAATTACTTGCTATTTTATAGTACATGCTTGAGGGAAGTATTTGTAGCTGACGATAGGTATGTATATATGCTGGGGCTGACATGAATTGATATGCAAATGTTTCTCTCCATCTTGATCATTAGTATGTAAAAATAAAGGAGGAGGAGGCGGAGGAGGAGGAGGATAATATACCAAGAGAGAGAGAGAGAGAGAGTAACGTTTATTAGAAGAAATTCGGAAGGTGTGTAAAAGTATGCTTTAGTTTCTATCTATCTATCTAATTATTCTCTCTAATTCAAAGAAGAAAAAGAAAAATAAGAAGATGAGGATGAAAAGAAAAAAAAGAAAAGAACGAAAGAGAAAAGACGAAGAGAGAGAGAGGAATGGCAGCAGATCAGGATACGGACATGCGAATCACAGCAAAATCGAAAACATAAAAAAGCATAGACCCAGATTGATGATGCCCAACAAGAAAAAGAAAAAGAAAAAAAGATATTAGAAAACAGATAAATAGCCAAGATGATCATCGTTTTTTTGTTGGATTAAAAAAAGAAATAGAGGGGGTTACTCGATTCAAAAAAAAGGGCGGGTGGGGCTCGGCTATCCGAAAAAAAGGAAGTTGCAATAGAGATGCAGGAGATAAGAGAGAGAGAAAGAGAGAAAGGTTAAAGCTGAGCAGAATGTTCGCTCAAAGTGCGCATCCGACCGGGCGTATTACTATGAGACGAATGCCGATGAGAGGCTTCATGAGGCGTGGCAAGCTGGCCCGAAGGACCGAAGAGACCAAAGGTATCAGGTTGAGATTTAGTGCGCGCGCTACCGACCGAGGTGGACCGGTTGAGGTCGCCTGAAGGATTAGCATAGCGCCCGCGACTGGTACGACGGGCGGTATCGAGCGAACGACGTCGGTGGACATCGGCGGAGCGCCATCCGAGGCCGGTGTGACCAGGCCCACGGGGCCCTTGCGAGTCTTCAAACTCGACCGTCCCAGTGCCCCTGAGCCCGAGAGTATCCAAAGAGCGTCGAAGACTTTGGACACGTTGAGGGGGGTTGTTCGAGATCTGGGCCATCGAGGGCTTGGCGTCTTGGGCTGGAGGGCTCATGGCTTTCGAAGGATCAACGGCCGCCACTCGCTCCGCTGCCGTCGTCTTCATGGCCTCCTTCTCCGGGTTCTGGAATCTCGCCTGTTGCCGTTCCTCCCGATGAGCCCGCACCGAATCCTCAGAACCCATCGCAATCATCGCGCAAACCGGATTCATCAACAGTCCATAGACAAACCCATAGACCGCTTTGATCAACGGGGCTGTAAAGTTTCCATTCCCGAGGTTCTCGTCGACCCAAATGGCTACAGCAACAGTTTGGTTAATTGGCTGTGATTGAAGGTTGCGGAAGGAGAGGAATGACTTACGGGTTACGATGGCAATGGAGATGGGCCAGATGAGGAAGAAGAAGATGAGAGACAGGACGCTTCCTTTCCAGATGGACCAACACAGCCGTGTGGTGAACTGCTTGCGCGAGAGTCGTGAGTCAAAGATATCGTTGACGTCCGAGCCCGAGAAGAAGTGGAGCCCGCGCGAGAATCCCTGGCCGTTGTGGAACTGTCGCCACAGCCGGCCGAGGCGCGTCTGGGCTTCATTGGGCGGGAGTCGTTTCGCGGCCCCCCACGACGTGTCCGGCCATGGGTATTGGAACGCCGAGATCTTGTTCTTCCGCAGATCCACGTGCACCATCCCGGAGGCGATGCAGAACGTCAAGACTCCCTGGATGAAGATCGTCACCGCCATATCACCGGCGACGGTATTATCTAGAAAAAACAAAATCAGAGCCGTAGTCAGAAATCACGAGTTTGTGGTTCGTGTAATCATCCAAACATACTCTTCAAGATCCATATCCTCACGTTCTTCGCGTTCAAGTACATCGCGCATCCGATACCGAAATTAGCTGCGACGAAAAAAAAGGAATAGTTTCTTAGTAAAAATTCAGCATTGATGGATAACCTTAAGTGCTTACCAGCACCATCAAGGATAGCCGCGCCAATCATCTGGGGGAGGATGATATACCTGTAAACCATGCGAAAGTGAAGTTAGAGGTGGGTAAATCGTGTAAGGGTTATAGAGAGGAGAGCCTTACAGTTTCTGACCGAGCGAGAGCGGGGGGATAGCTAGCGGATGCAAGCCTGCAGGTCTTCCAGGATATGAGGAAGGGTCTGAGAGGGAGACGGGAGGAGACTGTTGGGCTTCGAGGTCGACGGGCGAAGTGGGGAGTGAGAGAGCGGTGACCATGTCTGGGTCGGTTGAGGAGAGCGTCGGCGGTCCCAGTGTCTGAATCTCATCCGAGTCCTCTGCGTTGAATGGTCGATCCATCGGGTAATTAATAATCTGCTGGTGTGTGTGTTTATGTTCTCGGTATATGCGGTATTTGTTAATGAATATGGTTATCTGCTTGATGACAGAGAAAGGAGGAAGAGTATAAGGAGTAAAAAAGAGGAAGGAGGGGGGGGGAGAAGTCAAGAGGTTATTCAGGTGGACAAGTTGCTATTATATTGGGGTATTTGGTAAGTATTATCTGATCGCTCGAGCCAGCCGTGTTTAGCCTGAGAATAGTATTGTTATGTTTTGTTTTTTTCTGTGAGGGGAGGAAATATGCAAGGAAAGAGGAGCAGAGTGGAAGTTTTTTAATTGAACAGGCTGGAAGGAAGCAGTTGACCACTGTTTTTGATGGAAGCAAACAAGCTACCTACTTCAACCAGCCAAGGCACCGACCCCAGCCACACATCCACCACAATCCAAAAAAAAATATCATCAAGTCCAACCACCCATATTGGAGATCTGCCCTGACTCTGTGCTCCCGCGGCTCTACTTCCTAATTCCCTCTTCCGCTTCGTCATACTCTCTTGCATATACACTTATCATTCATCATTATCATCGGTTGATGATCTACTCCGGACAAGATTCCACCATTAACCAGCTGGGTGAGATATGGACTACGAGATCACCTTGAGGGAGTGTGAACGGATGGCTTCATCTTCCGAGGTTGCTTTACAGATCCCCCGAGCCCATCAGAGGGAAGTTGAGAACGAAGGAAGACATGATGATGGAAACCAAGTGAGAGTGCAAGATGAGTCACGTCTCTTGAACTGCCAATTACAAGTTCAGGTTCGAGCAGACCTTCGACAGAGGACTGCAAATCTCAGAAGAAAATATAGCACGCTCTCGAACTTTTAGCAATTCCCAACTTCTCAAAAGAGACGACTCCTCAAACGCTCCAGAGTGCAACTCGAGGCATACATGCACATCTGTTTGAATCCAGAAAAGTGGATCGAGTGCTTTCTTTTTGAAAGTGGCCGACCAGAGCCCTCCCCGAGCCCGGGCCGGGCTCATTTGACCCGCGTCGTTGGCTCACCTTCCGAGTAAAAGAGAGTGCCGCTGTGGAACGTCTGGATTTAGAGCGCGGCTGCGAACACCGTCTCTCACTTGGTTTTATATGTACAGACTCAAGAGACCGGCGTGCTTCAACAGACAACCGGCACTTGGCTTCGGAACCACACTTCGTCGACGATGGATATCAGACAAGCAACCGTAAGTCATCTATCAACTTCTCCCCATCCTCCAAAGCACTGACTTCAACTTTCTGCCTTCCTCCTTGATTATGTCCAACTACTCCCACCCCTTCGATTGCTCGCAGGTTGCTGATTTGCCCGGGTTAGTGGTCGATTCGTCCTCGGTTCCATCCCTCTCCTCGCTGGAGCTTCTTGGCTGATCTGTGTCGTATCCTCTCTCCTCTCTTTCTCATTCCGGTCGTCAAGAATGCAGCATTGCAATCTGATGAACTTGCCAGGTTAGATTCCTCCGAGATTTGGAAACAGCAGTTCAATCACAAAAAAAAAGAAAACATGGCATCAAGTAGCCTACACTAACTCCAAGTTCATTTTTCTTTTCCTTGGTAGAAAACTATCAGATGAAGTATTGTCAGTCGAATTTCCACTCCATAAGAGAGAGAGAAAACTTATGTTGTTCCACTCGAATGTTTTAGAGATACGATACTAAAACTGGTTTTTGTTTTGGCAATTGTGTTCTCTAAGATATGTACCATCTACTGACCTGGCCTCAACTCTCGTTTGTGGGGGTGGACCAGAAGGGAAGAGTTGTAGGCTATATTCTTGCGAAGATGTAATCTACGCACATCTGCTTAATTTTCCTAGCATCCCATCTCATCCGTTTCGAGTGCCCTGATTTTCATGGACTAGCAGATCCGCCAATGTCTGGGCTCGAATATTGACTATCTTGCTCCCTTTTCCTTCTTGTTCTGTGTGTGAAAAATCGGTCATAGGGAAGAGGATCCGGCCGATGAACCCCATGGTCATGTTACGTCGATCTCAGTCTTACGGACCTATCGTCGTCTGGGTCTGGCAAATAAATTGATGCAACAAGCTCGTAAGCATATCATCCCCCCTCGCCCATCCTCCTGCACTTCTTCTGCACCGAAGCAGAGTTCTGATCAACATTCCATTTTCTTTTTTTTCACTTTCAGAAAAGGCGATGCGCGACGTGTTTGGTGCGATATACGTTTCCCTTCATGTCCGGAAGACCAATCGGGCCGCACTTAGCTTGTATCAAGATACCTTGGGCTTTGCCGTCAAAGAAATCGAGAAGAAGTACTGTGAGTCTTCATCCTCTTTCCATTTCTATACATTCGGAACCAAAGACTCACAAATTTTCTTTCACGCCGCGCTTGTCTATCTCTCTTGCTATTGGGACCCTTCCTCTTGATGGCTCACTTCCTTGACTGCGCTTCCCTCCTCCTTGCCACCGACTTCTCAAACCCTTCCGAACGATCAGATGCCGATGGTGAAGATGCTTACTCCATGAGAATGGTTTTGTAATTAGATGTCTTACTCTAGGAGAAAAAAAAATGCTCCTTTCAACAAACAAAATCGTGATCGCGCTCAAGTGGCACCACTCACTGGCATTCTGATGATGACGAAAAAAAACGTTGAAGGCTAGAGATGACATGACCATTATCTGCAATATTTGAGAGCTTTGACATTGTAGTGGCACAATGATAATGTTATGATTCAAATCTAGTTCAGCATTGAAAGTCATTTCAAGGAATGGCTATACTTGTGGCAGCCCAACGGAGATGGATGTAGGATTCGGATTGTGATTCGGGAAGCCCAAGTCGTTAAAGGGCATCACTGATCGATCTGCGTTTACTATCGTATCGCAGCCATCGGACTGGACCACAAAAGAATGGAAACCCTCATGGCACAATATCCGTCCCATTCGTTTCCGTCAATTGCTTGCAAAGGAGAACAGAGCTCCCCCAGCCTTCCATATGAACTTTCTATCCCAAAATCACGGGCCCGTCGCCAGAGCAGGCCAGCAGCTGTGAATCCGGAATCTGAGGCAACCTGTCACGGAGAAACCCTTGGTGAGCTTTGGAAGGGTGAAGAAACCCAAGCTAAATAAATGTGTATTCATACAACGGGTGGACGACCCTATGTAGCTTAACCCTCATAGTGCGCAATGTCAAATCAAACTGCACTTTAAAAAAAAAATGTAGCTTAACAAATCCCCTCGACAGAGGGCCGGAGACATCTCTGAAAGAGGCGTATGCGTTCAGTCAAATTTTAGCCTGCAAGCGGGTACGTTTTGTGGCTTTTCTTGGGCATTTCAGAATCATACTTAACTGCTCATTACTCCCAGTCCATCCAACCAAATGAGTGGCAGAAACGTTTTTCCATTAGGTGAGCATAAGTCCTTGGTGTCCATGATATTATATATATATATATCTTTGATGTTTTTTTCCCAAGTACACTAATCCATCCTTTGGATCAAAAGTTGGGCTCTTGATTTAAACTTTGAAGTGAAAATGAGTGTGGAGTTCAAGGTTGAATGCAACTTGCAAATTTTGGCAAGTTATGTACTCTGCACAAAAAAGTATGCATGCATGCTGAGTTGCCAAAATTCATGGCAAAGTTAGGAATAGGTGTGACCTGTACAAGCTATGTTACCTTCACGAACTTTGGCCACTCAATTTGCATCCTACATCTTTTGTGCCGAGTGACTTGCCTAAATTCATGCAACTACATACATAACTTGCTTTAAACTTTGAGTCCCACTTGACATGGTACAACAAAGACTATTCAGGAAGGAACCTGCAGTGGACCTTCATCAACCTCGAAACAGAAGGGCCTTTTTGAAAGGCCAGGCCTAGGGTCAAATCTAGAGGGCCCTTGGACAAGACAGATATTTGCTGAAGAAGCAGCCCCGTTGGCTAGTCCAAACGGCTGAAGAAAATATGATGAGGAAGGGCAATTGTCAGGGCAAGGTTTTTCCCTACTAACAGCCTTCAGCTTCCACGCCAAAATTTGGACATTTGGCACAAGTCCCTCCTTCGGAGGGGCGCTTCGCGCCAGCCTGGCGATACCAGGCCCTCCGATCAAGGGACGTGGGCTAACTTGGTGGACGACCTCAGGCTCAAATAATCATGGGCATATCAGACGTACATAGAGGCAGTCGGGTCTATGGTTGAACACGGAGTCATTTTGGCCACAACTTGTTTATTTCTTACTATTTGATAAAACGTTCTCTTGTAATACTAAACCCAATAAAAATAAAAATAGATGTATAAGAATTACAAATACATTAGATTTAAACAGTCTCAAGTGAAGGAGGCGAAAAAAAAATTGGAATAAGGTTGAGAATAAAACAATGAGTGAGTAACTAAGACTTTCTTTTACCGGCCACAACAATACTTCATCTTTTTTTTACTGCTAAATGTACATTTAACTACATTCAAATATAGGGAAATTCTGAGGACAGGAGGGAGAAAAGTTAACAAATCCTAATCGAGATTTTTTTGATTTCAGAATTCTTAAAGTTGCCATTGATCAATTCCAACAACAACAAGCCGTCGTCAACTAGATCGTCATTCGATGAGGATTTGCCACCGATGATTTTCTGAGGTCTGACAAACTCTTCCTGATCGATGATCACCAACCTGAGTTTCCACTGAGGATCCAGCTCGATTTCCGCTGCCAATCGGAGTTTATTTTGGATCTTAGATCGGATTTGTGGGAGTGAAAACAAGCCTTTCTGGATGGCTAAGATGATGTTTGTTTTGGATTCCAGATGGATTACTTTTAAGGTGAGCGAGTTGGGCTTGAGGCCATTGGCATTACCGGCTGAAGTGTGGGGACGTTTCTGAGATTGAGGGCAAGTTGCAATGGGTTTACTTGGCCTCAGGGGAGAGGTGGATGAATTGGCAAGGCGAGGAGGGATCGAATAGAACGGAGCGGGTGGCACGTGGTGGTGGGGAGTGATTGTACGCGTTTCTTGCTCGGGGACCAAGTCGAGCGAAGTCGAGCCACGAAGTTTCATCGAATTTGGGCCCAGACTATCGACACTACGACGACAGGGTAGATTGGGTCGAATTTTTTGATTGGGTATTGATTCAGAGCTAGAGTTATTTGAAGTCGATGGTGTCACCGTTGGGGAACTTAATGTAGAGGAGATTGGTGAGATTTGTGACGAGCCGAAGCTGGAGCTGGAATCTGAGGGATTCCGCCGATGTTTGATCCATGGGCTGGTTGTCGATCGAGCTCGCAAGACCATTTGAGGAGATGCCCCTACAATGGGGACACTGTTGTTACGGATAGGGTCTACCAGACCGTTCCTTCCAGACCGTCCTACGACCTTGTTGTAACCGGCTGTGCCTCTGATATCTTGCATCGACTTGAATTCCCTCAAGTGTGGTCGAGCAAGCTTGAGGGGTTCTGCCACAGGCGGAGAGCCAAGCTGGGTTTCAGAGGGCCTTCTCGGGGGTGCAGGGCGGACTGGCTTGCCGACGGCTCTGAGGCTATTGCTCATCGTAGGCTTCAAGGAGGGCTCATGAGGAAGCCTAGAATCGGTAGTGTTCGGCCGTTTAGGAGGTGCCAGAGGAGGCGGTTGAGCCAAGCCAGTTTTAGGCCGCAGTGGAGCCCAAGATTTGTTCGCAAGTCGAGCATTTGGCGCTGCTAGAGGGCGGCCTACGATGCCCGAGCGCAGAACTTGTCCGTTTTGTAGGTCTGGTATCGAGCCTGGTGGTGGCGGGCGCTCGGCGATGACCGCCATGGGATCAAGTGTGGGTCTACGCCGAGAGTGGGGCGAAAGTTTCTCATTCGTCATCGGTTTCTCGACTTCGGGACCTGGTGCCGTTTGTCGTGAAGCGAGGTTTGGCTGAGAACTTCTCGTTCGTAACTGGTGTGGAGGATTTGATTGCGCAGGCTCAGGGAATCGATAGGTTTGCAAATGAGAAGAAATAGCAGTTCCTTCTTCCCGGCTCGGTACCTCTGCAGACAGCGGTATTCTGCACAAGGGCGGTTCATCGTCGGTGTATTCCACCTGATGAGCCCCTAACAGCATCTGTTCTGTTTGAAGAAAAGCGTGCAGGATGCTGGAATTAAGAACTTTCTTGGGACACTTTTCAACCAGACAGTTTAGGAAACTGTTCAGCTCTTTCAAATTTGAGGCCAGAGTATTTTGGTTGCGTTTAGAATTGGTAAAGATTGATTCCAGAAAGCCTTGCCCTTTGGAAAGCTTGGGCAAAATGGATTCAATTTCTGGATAGTGAGAAAGAAGCCTGCACGCGTAGAATAGAGAACAGATCGATCAACTGAAAAAGAGTTCCGCGACAACAAGAGAGACGATGATGCGGCTTACTGCTCTCTAAAATCTATCCATTCCTCCCAAGTTTTCTCAACAATATAGGGTTTCTCTTCCGCCCAACGACCATCCATTCTGAGACTGACTTTGTTGACTTCAACCGAAATTGCTCGAGGTCGACTTTCAGGATGGTTTGGGCTGAGACACCTCACCGATGCCAAGGTCCAGCATGATCCTTCGTTGTAGTTGGGTGGCATGGGAAGAACGGAGCCTCGACCGTACGAACAGTCATGAGTTGAAGCATTTGTCGGCGGTTGATAGGGGCCAATCGGAGCTGAGTGCTTCCGCGCCGCAAGAGATGGAGATGAATTAGAAAGAAAAAAGGTCTGGGTACGGTCCGACATAACGGCCATAGTTGAATAGAAAACCAATTGGATCAAGTAAATATGTAGGGGTAAGCTGAAAGGCTGAGTTGACAAGGCTACTAAATATTTAGAGGGCCAAGGTTTGTGTGGATATGATCTTAGGCTATATCAATAGGATGCGTGGGCTGACAGACAGGTTAAATGCAATAAGTCTCAAAGATAATTGCCTACGGTACCACACCAAAAAACTGGTACAATCGAAAGTCAGATATGGAAGGTGAAATTGTAAAAGGGAAAGAGAACAACTTTGTTGGATCCGTAGTTTAAGAGCTTATACAACGATGGCCGCGCGGAGATTGCGAAGAAGAGCTGAAATAAACACCGGCAAGTGTAGGAGAGGTCGGGGAAAGGAAGGTCTTGAGTATCTTGTGAACTTTTGGCGATTAGCAAGATCCTGCGTAATGAGACATCAATCTTTATTTTGTTGCGAAAAGTTAAGGTACGCTCCACTACATGCTTGGAAGACAGAAGACAGCTCGCTTAGGAGAGGGTATGGACTGAACATGGAATCAAAAGCTGATTAATAGCTGATTGATAAATGGTGGGTTAAATTGATGGAGTTAGAGCGTTAGCGAGGCTTCAAACAGCAAGCACGAGGCAAGCCTGCTCAAGCCTGGTCAGTAGCCCATCTCATTGCAAATTGAGAGGGTAACAGAAATTCCAGCCGATAGAATGATAGAGAAGGTACAAACCCGTTGAATCGTCCGATTCAATGTGGCTCACATGGAATTCTGAGAGAAGGGCAAGCTCTGAGCTAAGGAAGAATTGCTCGATGGTACATACTATTTACATAAATAAAGTAGTACAATAAGGTAAGTACCCCTGATTTTGTACAGAATGGCCTTTACAAAAGTACAACAAGTATGCTACATGGCGTTTCTAAATCCCAAATATGACGGCTTGCGAAGTTCCAACGCATTTGCCACCATGTCGATGTAATAAATCGATAGTTGTTAGGGGCAATATTACAGCCAGTTACAGTGCATTTGCGAATGTGATAGCCACCATCCAGTACAATGAGGCAATTTTCTTCAGATTCTTTGGCAACTAATATGCAGACACAAATCTCTTGCCGCGGCGCAGTCGACAAGTGAAAGCTGTCCGTCTGCTCTTTCCATTTCTCAAAGGACTTCTCGAAGGGAAAACTTGCGCCATAGTCGACAAAAACACGGGTGGCGATAGATTTTGAGCGCAAGCATTCAGCCGTTCCGATGTGTGCTGGTCTGCCGGTTTCTTGTCCCTCAGCAAAAAAACAAAAAGGGACGTCGACTCGCGAGTCTGGACTGAGTGGGTCTTTACAGACGTTGAGCCAAGGTCACACTCACCAGTCACGGGACGGCATTTTTGTCCTGCCAGCAGGGTCGCTGTTCTCCCAGTGCAATTAATTTCCTACCAGGAAAAAACTTTTTCATAGGACATTGGCAAACTCAGCAGTCCCTTCCTGGCCAGAGGATGTGGGTTTTCAAAGTGGGGTATCTCCTGCCACCCCCTGCACCTAAACCCTGTGCCCAGGTCACAGGAGCTTCCAACATCAGATGGGGCCAATGAGGACCTGTACCACATGGCATGAAAATTCAATTTTTCAAAATTCATCTTCATCAAATTGCCACATCAACAAAGTGACTATCACCAAGAGCTAGTCTTTTGTCTGAAAGTAGAGAATTTCACCAGTGGTTCTTGTTTTCAATCTTTGTGCAGAAGACATAAAAATTGTTGGAACTCTGCCATTACTTGTACATTCTCTTCTTTCTCTTTTTCCTCTCAAAAACTCATTTCAATCCCCTATCACTCATTCATTTCCTTCCTGATCCATATGCAAAATTGTCATCTTCTACTCACAACCTGTCCCTCAGTTGTAATAGAGCTATAAACCTTGATGATCAGTGGAGCAATTCAGCATCAGTTTTCTGCACCTGGTCCCCAAGGTCACTCATACAACCTCCTGTAGTGTGAGTACTTTTTCTGACACACACTAGCATCTTTTAGCCCTCAAAGAGGGCTCTGTAACCTTTGTTCATTCTGCTTTTAGCATCTTCTCCTGGCTTTATTTTTCCTGGACCTCATTCCTCACTAATTGGCCTTGGAGTCTGTTTTTCATCAAAAATGACAGTTTTTCAAAATTGAATCCCACACTACAGGCCCTCAGCTGGGCCTCCCACAACTTCTGCATTATTCTTTAAATAGTTTTTTTAACTCCAAATTTCTTCAAAATTCAAAAATCATAAATCATAAACCAACCACCATTGGCCATCTTAACTCCATGATTCATCTGTACACAGGCTGGCATTGGCAATCAATGAGAAGATCTTGCTGTGCAATCAAAATTGAAAATATCCATTTGTTGAACAAAACAAAGAAGAAACGTAAAACATTAGAGATGGCACCACAAGTACTCGCCTACAGGTGTGGGTGCGGGTGTCTGAGATCTGAGAATTTTCATGCAAGTGCTTGTACTTGTTGCAGGTGTGCAGGTGTGAGCAACGCTGCCACAGATACGGTATCTGCCCGTATCTGCCATGTATCACTATGTATCTGAGCCCCAATAAAAAGAAACTACTTGACCAATCTGCTTTTATTTGCAAGGAGATTCAACAAATTTGGTTTTTGGCCATGCAGCTTTGCAGAATTCTCCATGATACACACAGTGTATCGTATCTGTGGCAGCGTTAGTGTGAGGGGCCATCTCTATATAACACGGTTTGCCTCTTTTTTTCCAATATTTTTCATAAAAAGGTAGGATGAAAAGTAAAATAAAGTTAAACTAGTCTCAGAGAAAGAAGATGTAAAACAATTCAAGCAGCACAAGATTATTAAATAAATAATGGGTGAAAAGCACTGTGGCTTCTGAAAGAGGGGTTTGTGAGGAACCTTTCAATGCTGTCCTCAAAAGATTTGAATTTTATCCTCTCTCACACCTTAACCCTCATTTCTTGCAGCCAAGCCCATCAATCTTTATGGTTCAAACTTCCTATAGCTGATGAAATTAGTTTTGAGCTCACATTCCTCTATCTTACCTGTACAAAATGCTGACCTACTTTTGAATGTTCAAGGGACTTGATCCAAGCTAAAGATAAGGTTATTCCACACATTTTGGCACATCTCATGATAAACCAGCTTATGTAGACATCCTTAAGGCTATTTTAGGGTAAGTCAAAAAAAAATTGATGATGAATTTTGTAACTTCAGTGTTGGATTTTCCAATGTGAATAGGGCCAACAATATTTTTCCTACATGCAGTATTCACATGTGGCCTCTTGTTCAATCTGTACAAAAATGATGGGTTCCAAATAATTCTTCCAGTGTCACCAAGCTGTTTTTTTAAATAGGTTGGTTTTTTGTTTTTAGGGGATACAAGAAGTTGAGAGAGAGATACATGAAAAATCATCATCCTGATTTTGTCTGCAAAATTTTGTTTAAAACATTCCTTGATTGCCTCAAGATTAGGAAAACCCCAAATTTATTTAATCATGTCTAAATGATGAACTAATTTGTTGTAGCCTGTAGCACACATCCATGGGATTCAATCTATACAGGAATATTTATGGAAATGCCAATGAGAATATTAAAGAGTTCATCAAGTAAGACTGGTTGGATAATTGCAATAGGTTGTCTTATGAAAACTCACCAAACTGGTGGTAACTCATGTAGGTTACTTTGAATTCAACTTGTGTCATACTAGAATCTATTCCAATGAAAAAAATTCTGCACAGTCACTGTGCATTGAAGTATGGCTGAAGTAAGGGTTGAGTGACATCTAAGTAACAACCCAACTTTCACAAGAGTTACCACATTTCAGCTGGCAGCAGTTTCATGATATTTTCTCATAGTGTTCATGTCATTTGCAGCATGGTCCAATATCACTACACATTCCTCCTGAGAGGTAGTGGTTCTGTAAAGTCAGGAAGCTTGTATATGGTTTTCAATTAATTTGACAATTGAAACAGGAAGTGGTACTAGTGTTTCCACTCTTGATTCCTCTGAAGGCAATCAAGTGCTCAGAAATATAAAAAATATATAAGAAAACTGGATTTGCCAAGATAATATTGACAAACATGACATCAAAATTCAGAAAGATGATGGCCATTGTAATAATTAAATGCATCCACAACCCTATTCAATCAAGACCCAATGGTTTCCTATAAATAAAAAACTTCAATTTAGTTCAATGTAGTAATGATTCCCAGAAATATATTACCATGATTGTAATGTATGAGGAACATATGGTGTACATATGGGATCTTTCCAAGATCTACAAGTGTAAAGCTATTATGAAGTAAATGAGGACTGTGCCTTTCTATGGTCATTTTATGGATGATTTGGTGTGAATTTACCTTTCAAAAAATAACAAACCCATATTATTACTATTTATAACCTCAAATCTAATGGCTGTTGAAGGATTTAATGAATCAGTAGGGAATAGTGTGGCTGATGCCACATTTAATAAACTGTCTATGGAAATTTAATTTAATCAAAATGTACAACAAGACTACCTATGTCATCATACAGTTTGAATGTGATTTTTGAACAATGATTTATTTACAATGGTTGAGGTCTTTGCATTTGCACAGTCAGACAACAGACTTCAATACAAAGACTGTTTAATGAAGTACCACACAACAACCCAATATGATGTCTGGAAACAGGAAACAGCAAACAAAGTCCTACTTTATCTAATGATTTACCTTGTTATTTGTTTATTGTCAAGCAAAAGTCACTGACAATTGGATTATACTGGAACCTAGAAAAAGATGTGCTGAATTCAAGGTTGGGTTTATGAATCAACATCACATTGGGATCATATGTATAGCTCCTGTGTGAGTGCTGTTCAAGATCTTGGCCTGATTAATGTTTGGCTGAATGTCCCTGATAATAAGTTTTGTTCCATTTGCAAGGCCATCCTTTATGCAGAGATTTTGCAACAGCATCACCAGCATACCTACTTTAAGTGCAAGTCTATGCTCTGCAAAATTAGCAATATTTATAGTATCTGAGATTTCTTCAGACACAGCTAATTCTGTTGTATCTGTCATCTGGTCAAGTGACAAAAAGAAAAATGCCTTTCCATGAATTAAACCTAAGCACTTGTCTTTGATATTCTTCACATACTCATTCAATGAGGTAATAATTGATCTTAATTTATAATACCGCCCGTCCTGATTGCTTTGTCCATTGCAAGAAGTTGTATGTAGATCTGAATAGGCAAATGAAATTATCTTAAAAATAAACTTTTTGAGTGAAAACCCTCAGCAATTGATTCCAAACTTCAAATCAATGTCTTCTGTGAATTATGTTCATGTCTTTCCTTCACCAACACCTAGCAACCAATCATTGAATTCCACTAAGTTTGGGCCAGAATTGGA